ATGTCCATTCAACGTAATCTCGGCTTTCGTATTTCCGTTGACGAGACACAACCGCAAACTATTTTGTAGCAATGTGTGCGCGACGATTAATAAATGAACGATCGGCGTGTTATTGTTGTAGTAGCGATAACACGCAAACCTTTTGGGGTCTTGGGTGTCGTTGAACGCTTAGGAACGAGGAAACGAATGGATCCCGCGCAAAACGGACAAACGCTGGGGCGGGTAGAATCGCGGCTCGAACGGATAATAATATTATTATAAGCCTCGTCGCCTGACCGTGTAATTAAATCGTTTAAATAAATTTTGGCGGCTCGATACGACAGCTGGGAAAAGGTCTACCCGGAGGCGCATAACTGTGACGCGGCTTTGGGGTGCTATTTAGGGAAACTCCTCCGTCTTGTGTTACCGCTGTGCGACGGCCGCAGCCTTGGCCCTTCATGCGCTCGTTGCGTGTATTTCGTCGCACTATATACTTATACCCTGGTGAGATTAAATTTAAATTAATNGATAGACTATATACTTATACCCTGGTGAGATTAAATTTAAATTAATTGACAAACTTTAGTCGTGTTCGTATTGGTGCGCTCTGTCAGTGGAGGGGGGAGGGGTTAGTTCCTGTGCGAACAACTGGGGGAAGCAAGACGGACGGCATGCGTGTGTCCTATCAGTTTTGTATATCGCGTGTAACGAGGGCGAGGGGTCCGTTCAATTACTATTTTATTTTGTTCTCGACGGTTTTTTTATTTTCTACTTCGTTACCTTGTTTGTTTAATAAATAACAATAGGCTCCGGCCAATCAATTAGTCGGCAATTAATTTTCTCCGGCTGACGGGTTAATATAATCGCACAGTGTGAGTAAATATTTCGCGGACTATTTTAATACGGCGGTTTTGGCACTCGGGTCGCAATGGTTATCTCGTTTAGAAATGAGATTATTGCCGGCCCCGCAGTAACTTTGCAAAACGGCTGACAGTGCCGAGCAAATTAATTTCTGCCCGTCGAGTACCTTAAACTATTTCTGAGAACCGCATGCTAATCAACAATCGACGGTGTGTATATGTTTTCAAAGGCGTTTCGATATTCAAATCGATTTCGCATTTATTAACGGAAAACAACGAACGTGTGAAATGTGCACTGACTCGAGTAAGCGTTAACGGCTTAGAGTTGACGGGGGGGGGGTCACCCGTGCCAAAAGATAATCGTCGATTTTATCACCTCTGAGGGAATACGGCAACGTATTTGTTCTCACTTTTTGTTTTGTCCCAAAAACCCTTTGACGGTACGATTTCATTTTATCTACTCGTATTTCTTTTTTCGTCAAATATTCTCTTTTATTCGTTCGACTAAAAAATATCGGAACGATTAAATCTTATTGTTGTCGACTGTATTATTTACTCACACCGTTTGTTTGCCGTCGTCGAGTAAATACAATCAAAGTTTGAACGAGCTAAGGGTATGCGTTCGGTCCAAAACGTTTTGGGAAACGTGTACAAGCAAATAGCTTATCATATAAAAAAACATTCAAATTGATTACATATGCCGTTTGGACGATTTTTTTTAGGTTATATGGATGCGCATAGTTTTCTCTCAGGGGGCTCGTCGTACTCGGTCGAAGACCTTAACGTTTGTCGAGTTGGCCAATTTATTTTAGGTTAAATTGTAAATTGGATTTGTCGCGGACGATTTGTTGTCAGACTAAGTGAAATTGTAAAATAATTTTTATCTAAAACGTTTTTTTCGTCGACCTTTTCAACGTTATCAGCTCTTCTATCAATCCGTCCAAATGAATATTCGCAAAAAGTTCCATTTGCATATTATTTTCCGGTATTTTCCCCTCTTTGCATCCTGTCGACGTCATTTATTTTTCAACAGTCGCTACACATATGCCGTGACACATGTTATGTCATCCAATCGAATAATATTTCTCTGTCTCTTGGAAACATTTAACACAGAAAAAAGTCGCAAATAGATTTACCCGTCTGGAAGTGCAAAATATAAATAAACCAAAAATAATAAATTAAGTTAACGCCCCACGTATCGCTGTGCATATAATCAAGTTAATTAAAGCGATGAAATCAATTTATTTGTCAACAGTTTTTTCAACGATTACCCATAATTATTTGCTCGCTATCTATAAACAAGAGTAAAAATAAATGGATCAGAAAAGTCAATAAAAAAAATGTCTGTAGCTTGGTCGGCAGTCACGGTTCACACTTCCATTTGTCCTCTAATTGGTGCCAATAATCATATTGGATAGTCGTAGCAACCTCACCTATTTCCCCTCTGTCGGTTGATTGATTCGATCACAGTGTCACCACTAGCAGTCGGTGGTCTCTCTCTTTAATTAACCGTCCCCTCCGTGCCCTGTTCGGTCATTATGCGCTCTAACCATTGCTTGGTCGGTTTTCTACTCGACTCAAATTTCGCATCGAATAGTTGCTCTGTGGGCATTTAATAGTAAACATTTATATTGGACATCATTTTGTGTTGGCAATGATAATACCAATTTAATCGAGTTTAAATGTCACGTCCCTGGCAATCAAATCGTGTCTCTCTATCATGACACCATTTATCAATTATGATGACAGTATTTCCTACGAGTGTTTTATTTGTTTTGCGAGCTGAAATAGATAATAAACATCATCGCGGGAAATTGCACAAGCCGTTAGAAATCCCTCGCACAATAGAAGTCTCACGATTTTATTTTTTAAGTATCAAGTTATATATATATTTGTAAATCATTTATTTGAAATGATTGAACAAAAAACGTTGATGCGAATACATCGCTCATTATTTTTTTTTATGCGACTTAGTAAGAAAAGAAAATCTGTTGTCAAATCATTTGATCTGACAAAGTAATGTTAATCCCAATAGAAAGCGCATTTAGTCTCGACTTTGTTAATCTCTTGAGCTCGACGTATTTTGCAATTTATCCTTTTAGACATTTTCATCATAATGATATTTTTTTTGTCAAGCAATGTTTCCCGACCGTATTTCGTTTACTCGCCTTTACTACTATTGACATTCCATTATTACTTATTTTTTAATGCTCCAATCTGCAAAGAGAAGTTTAAAATCGGCGTTCTCTTAACTATGTGTACTACTATCCTTTATCTGTTGGTCTATAAATTATCACCGACTATACTCAATTTTTTATTTTAAATTAAAATTATTAATTTTAAATATTAAAATTATTTAATTCAAGAAGCCACAAAAACCTTAAAAACAATCACGGATATGTATTTGGGAACAATGTTACCAATATCAACGCATAACACATACAACCTGATCGAAAAAAAATCTCCTTTTATTATTACCCTAGTGACATTATCACTAAATAATTTTATCACATTTTTTCAATTTACACTAGTTATTAAGAATTTTTCATTGGCCCACTGAATAACGTCAATGAGGAGGGGGCTGTTATATAAGGGGATTTTTTTCTGGATCTCAGGAACCGATTAATCGAAGGACTGCGATAGTTTCGTAAGTGTTGAAATTTGGCGTGTCAAGAATACACCGACGTTTTTATTGTTTCTATGAGCTTTGCAGTATTAATGACGGCCAATAGATTTGTCCGTATGCTCGCGAAAATGATAAATAACGTTTGAGATGTTTATTATCAAAAGATTATTAAATATGTCCCGGGGGCGTTGTCGACCTGCAGCAAACATTGTCTTGTAGCGTACTAAGCCTCGTTTTGGGTTCCACTCAAAGTCATTAAGTCGTTGGTATTGAATGCTACTCGTTTCGAATAAATTCCAAGTCGAGATATCATTCGACGCGCACTCGGATGTAAAGACTTTTCTCAAAGGTTATTTCTTCGTTGTACATACGACACATACGACCGTTACAATTTTCCGTAAACATAATAATGTATTCCCGGAATGCTCACCGATAGAAAATTGAGATTTTAAGTTTTAACTTAAGGAAATCGGTTATAATTATAACCGATTTAGGTTATTTATTATTTTGAAAATGTCTTGAGCTTTAAGCGTTTAGACGGAAACGCGCAATTTATGTACTCGTTAGAACGAACTGATTGAGAAGTTTTTGTACCATGTCAGCATGGAACAGACAAAATCTGTTGTTATGGCTGCGCGTCCCACTGCTGGATATTATGGTGATCAATTGTTTTTGTTCGGATGGTACGGCCAAGAGGTGCGCTCTTAAATAATTCAAACTCATTTATATAAAGAATAAAAATGAATTCTCTTGGTGAAATAAAACGTTGACAGGCGATTTCGAAATTGCAAACTATGTTTACTTTAGTTTTGTTTTTTATTTTGCTCGCGAGAATTTCGAAAAATATCCGTCGGAATTGAATAACTGTCATCGGTGTTTGTTGTTGGAAAGAAAGATGTCTGCGTGTGGTTGAATAAAATTAATTTTTTTTTCCGCATACAAGCGCACGTTAATAATCCGAATTGATATTTATACCAGATAAAACGGTTATTGTTTTTTTTTTTTTTTTCTGTAATGCAAAGGCCAACACAGTGGCGTAGAACTACTAGGCTTTGTAACGTTTCGTCGATTTATTTCGAGTCCGTACAAATCGTAAAACGTGAAAATGTCAATTTTGCGCTTGATTGATTATACAATACGCTGGAAAATGACTAAGGGAAAATAAATAACCTCGAGAAATCCCTTTCTTTAATAATGAGTACTTATGTGTATTCAGTATTATTGACACGACGTTTCGCAGACAACTGTAAACTACAGTAAGATCAAAAGACGAAATTGTATAAAAAGAAAAATTTTATCATTATTATTTACAACAACAGTTTTATTCTTAATCTAAAATTACTCTGTGCCGTTTTAAAAAGGTATATTATAATCATTTGCACATAACATCGTAGAAACGTGCCATGCATTTTTTATGACGAACCCTACAAAAAGTCTACATAGTGGTGTTTTTTGTGTCGAGTACTCACATTTTGGCCCATGTGTGTATATAAATGTTTTTCTTGCTGTTGTTAATATTTGTGCATGTCGTTTAGCAGTTATTCCGCAACCATCAAGCGCAACAGGCAGCCGCAGCAGCAGCCGCCGCCGCTGCTAACCCGGCCGCGGCGGCCGCAGTAGCTGCTCAACAACTGCAGCTCATTCAGCAACAGCAGCAACAACAATTCCATTTACAACAACAACAGCAACTAGCCGCAGCGGCGGCCGGACTCGCTGCAGCGGCATCGGCACCCGCTGCTACACCAGTGGCGGCTGCAGCAGCCGCGGCTTCTTTCGCGCCACCCGGCACGGCAGCTACTACGCCGTACCTCATTAACCCTCAGGAACCATATGTCATTGCCGGTAATTATTTCCCGCTTGTTTTTTTTTTTTTTTTATAAATAATTATCATAAATTAAAGTATATAAGTTCTGGATAAACACTAGAAAGAGACGTATGTTTTACTTTCTCTTATGTTGCTTGTCTTATTTTTTTGAGTTTTCGAAGAAAACATCTAGAACTGTTCTATATTTGTTTCGTGTACATATGCTCTTATTTATCTTGAAAATCTGTACAAAAAACAAATGTATCTATTTCATTTTTGGTCGTCCCGTGTATATAATGTACTACACGTTTTCTGTATGTGTGCGTGTGTGTCTCAATAAAGGCTTTATGGGCTCAGGTCCGACGGTGGTGCCACAGTACTATGGAGTTCCATGGGGAATGTATCCGGCGGGCAGCATCATCCAGCCAGCTGGAGCGGCCGGTGGCCAACCCGGAACGACGACCAACGGCACGAACACGGCTAACCAACAACGCAGGCCAATGAGTCCGTCGCAGGCCGACGGCACCCAATACCAAGTGATACCCGCATTCTACGACCAAAACGGTTCGCTAGTGATGACCCGCAATGGCGGTCAGCTTCGGCTCGTCTCGCCGGCTTCAGTTATCGTCAACGCGCAGCAAGGTAACTATCATCATCCGTTCATAATTTTCCCCACTCCAGTAAAACAGCGTGAACTGCTCTAGAGAAACCATTACACGCAGTGACTTTTATCTTAGACGGAGGGACACGAATATTCTCTCAACCCGCTTAATGTTTCAATTAAACAACATAATTTATGATTTTAAATTAGTTCGAAGTTGCATAATTGTTAATAATATCTCGTCGTCGTCCTCCTTCTGCGTGTCGCAAATTACCATAATGCAATGTAATATGTCCGTTTATAGTAACACGACTGTTATGAAATTAAATTAGTGTTATTATTTAACTTATTACAAATGTAAAGGGCCGTTTAAACGTGTGAACTTTGTTGTGTGTGTACAGCAGGTCTCCAACCACAGCCTCAGCAGGCGGTCGGTTCGGCAGCCAACAACTATTCGACCAACTTGACCTCACTGACATCCAGCCTTTCGTCGCTGGGGGTCAGCGCAGGTAAATTTTGCATGAGTCAACCAAATACAGTTTGTTTGTTTTTGTGTTTCTCATTTGTTTTACACTCTCAATACCCAAACATCTTTTTACCAGCCACAATTCATTTAGTTATTACTATCGTTGTTATGCTGTGTGTGTGTATTATTAATATTTGCACGCTTTTTTTTTTTTTGTTATTTCAGCGTTGTTGTATCCTTTTTCACTACCCTCACTCTGTATCAGTTATATTTAGCCGACTCATTTCACAGCCGTGTCATGTCTACGGCGCATCTTTTTGTGTGTAGTCTTTTGATTTTCCATCTTCCTTAATAATAATAAAACATTACTATAGTTTCAGTAGTACTAATGCTTTATCATTGTTAACTTCTTGTCGACTAATAGTACACGGCATGTATGTATCATACACTTGAACAAAAATCAAGATTAACTGTAATGCTTGTTTGACCAACACTTTTGCTCTCCACTAACAATATTTCCATTTAATTTTTATTTACTCTCATTCACTAACAATACTATAATTTATATTATTATTATTTTTGTTATAAATATCTTAAATTCAAACTGAAATGAAATACTTGGGGATAAAGATTTTGATTTTTGCATAAATTCCACGCGTTTGATATTTCAATGAAATCTTTGGATTTGGAAAGTATCTGCTCTTATTAGTTCCCCGAGTTCGTGGTGAACATCACGTTTCTTATGCCANCCCGAGTTCGTGGTGAACATCGCGTTTCTTATGCCACTAATAAATAACCTCGGGGCGGGGAGGGTTTACGAAAGAATTCAAATTATAATTTACGTCAGCATTTACCCGCAAAATAATATTACACTATGTCATAATTATTATTCGGATCTCAAGTAACATACTATTCCACACCGCCTCGCTGCCATCGAAGTGCTCGTATTGCATCCAATTGCGGGGAGGAAATTAATTAAACGGAAATATCGTGACAGTTACGACGAATGCGCGTTAACTTTAACTTTCCTCTTTACCAAACATATGTGCTCAACATATGGTTTGTCCGTAGTAAATACACAATTCATTCTTGCCGTCAAGTACTTCTGAAAACTCCGGTAGAATAACCAAGTTTAATTTACAAAAATGAAACTTATCTGAATTGTCTCAAGTTTTCCCGTGTCGCTTCGAGTGATTATTATTTATTTAAGTGACAATTAATATATCGATTTTAATGTAGGAGATGTGGTATTTTATTCTTCATTTATTATTTGTAGATCTATTAGTATAGTCCCAACCGTGTTTTAGTAGTAGTACCAATCGGTAGGTACTGTTTAGTTGTTGTTGACTTGTTATATCAATCGTGTTAAAAACCAATTACTTTAATTATATTATATTTCTTATATTTTTTGATTAATAGAATATTATTTCTCTTAGCAGGAATGCATGATGTCAACGCCAGTCTTGGATTGAGTTCTGGCAANGTTGTTGACTTGTTATATCAATCGTGTTAAAAAACAATTACTTTAATTATATTATATTGATTTATATTTTTTGATTAATAGAATATTATTTCTCTTAGCAGGAATGCATGATGTCAACGCCAGTCTTGGATTGAGTTCTGGCAATGCTGGAAGGCGTGATTCATTTGATCGCAATACGTCCGCTTTTTCGCCGTCCATGGACTATGCTCGTCCTCCCAAGTGGCCTCAGTACGGAGCACTTGGTAAGTGAACCGTGTTAACGAAATAGTATTCTTATTTAATATCATGAATTGTTTTCTTAACAGCTTCACAGAGTCCTCTCGGCTTGGCATCTGGTTCACTAACGCCACCGCCAACAATGGGATCAGCGTCCAATTTACAGCTGGGACTGATGAGTTCAGCAGCCAACAATGCCAACCGAAGCTTGATGAACGCTGCACCTGGTGCTGAAACCATGTCTAAATTTAGAGCTAGTGGTAAAAAATATAGATGCCAATTGTAAAATATTTAATCATAGACTAATAATGTCTTAAATTTTCATTTAAGATTATGCAATGGGAGGTCTGGCTGCAAATGGAACTATGTTCAATACTGCGGCCAATCCAAACGCATCGAGTTCGTTGTTCAACAAGATGGGAGTTAGAGGAAGCACATCGTCTCTTGGTGGATCTTCTATAACATTAGATTCAAAACCATCAGGTCGAAGCCGTCTATTGGAAGACTTCAGGTAGATGAGTTTTTAAATAATATATTTTTTAATTATGCTTGCTGCTGTAGAGACATTATCAGTAGCCAAGGTGCAAAACCTACATTGGCTATTGCTTAAAGTTTCTAAAGTTGTATAGCTTTCTTGCTTCATTAATCGTAATCGATCCGATTCTCCTGCACTGTGGCAGGAACAATCGTTACCCCAGTCTCCAATTACGAGACTTGACCAATCATATTGTCGAGTTTTCTCAAGATCAACATGGATCCAGATTCATTCAACAGAAACTGGAAAGAGCTTCTACCCCAGAAAAGCAGTTGGTGTTCTCTGAAATATTGGCGGCCGCCTACAGTCTAATGACAGATGTGTTTGGTAATTATGTCATTCAAAAGTTCTTTGAATTTGGGACGCCAGAACAGAAATCAACTTTAGCACAGAAGGTAAATATTTTATTTTTGAGATTATTTGGAAATATTACCTCTTTAAACTTAAATATTATTCTAATTATAGGTTAGAGGACATGTACTACCATTGGCATTACAAATGTATGGCTGCAGGGTTATTCAAAAAGCTTTAGAAAGTGTTGGAGGTGAACAACAAGTTGAAATAGTGAGAGAATTAGATGGACACGTCTTAAAATGTGTTAAAGATCAAAATGGTAATCATGTGGTGCAAAAATGTATTGAGTGTGTGGATCCTCATGCATTACAGTTTATTATAAATGCTTTCCAAGGACAAGTATGTTATTTGTATCTTTTACTTAATGTTATTTATCACCATAATCTAATAAATATTTTTTTGTTGTATATAGGTCTTAACTTTATCCACGCACCCATATGGATGTAGAGTCATTCAACGCATACTGGAACATTGTACACCTGAACAGACTGCACCTATACTTGACGAAATGCATCAGCATGTTGAACAATTAATTCAGGACCAATATGGCAACTATGTCATTCAACATGTATTAGGTAAATGATTAACTAGGATGAAATTTTTACTATTGTATTGTATGGTTATAATTTAATCATGATATATTACTATTTCTTCAGAACACGGTAAACAAGAGGATAAATCTAAATTGATATGTTCTGTTCGTGGTAAAGTTCTGACATTGTCGCAACATAAATTTGCATCCAATGTTGTAGAAAAATGTGTTACACATGCCACTCGTAGTGAACGATCTATGTTAATTGAAGAAGTTTGCGGATTTAATGATAAGTAAGTTCATTCCTCTTATATTTTTAAGTAAATCTTCTTAAATATGATATTTTTCCTTAGTGCTTTACATGTTATGATGAAAGATCAGTATGCTAATTATGTGGTACAGAAAATGTTGGATGTTTGTGAATCTTCACAACGCAAAATTTTGATGCACAAAATCCGTCCACATTTTGCTTCACTTCGAAAATACACTTATGGTAAACATATAATTTCTAAACTGGAAAAGTACTTTATGAAGAGTAATCAACAATCGGTGCCAGTATCTGATTTGGGACCTATTGGACCACCAACAAATGGGGTTCTTTAAATAATTTTTTTTTTTTTCCACTAAAATAGTTCAATTATTGTATCCCTTTTATTAAATATTTTGAATCCAAATTTCATTTCTAATTTTTCTTTTAAATTATTACTACTACTACTACTACTATATTATTATTATTATTATTCAAAGTTAGTGGGTTTAACTTAATTTTGTTCATTAAAGATATAAAATATCCAGTTTAGTTAGGTAATTATGTGGCTTTAGATATCTTTTTTATAGATTTGTTTAAAAACAAAAAAAAAAAAATTAATTAATCTAGCTTGATAGTGTGGGCTTTGATATTAAAATATTACACTTTTGAATACTGTATTGGCATAGACAACTACATTTTTAACTAAGTTCTAATATGGTGACGTTTACAAGGTATGTACATTGAAATAGATAAAATATTATTTAGTATCCAAATTGTTAATATGACCTCAGCAAATTTCTTATACAGCGTTAATGTATAATTTGCTCCTTTTTCATATATGTACAAAAAAAATTATAAATCTTTGGTCATGTTTTTTTATTTAATACTATTTTTTTAACCGAACACTTAATAATTGTGTATAATATTTTGTATAATTTTCTTTTTTAATATAGATTTCCTTTAATTTTAAACAGGGTTTAATTAGATTTTGATAGTGAAGTTTTGTTTGTTTTTCTGTAATGTAAAAAAGTCAAGTATCTTTTCTATATAAATATTACGTCTGTATACATATATAAATTGAAAAGTTATTCATTCCTGTAAAATTTTTTTTTGTACGCTGTATAAAGAAATTATATAATATGCACATAATTATTGCTACAATGCTTGTTTTTATTTATATACAAATAATTTATATAAATATATATATGATGTATAAAATTGCATATTTGAAATATAAAATCTATAAAGCCATTTCGTTTTTGTGTTGTATAAATATTTTGAAATCTGTAATAAACTGTAAATCATTCTAGTTTCGGGTAACATATAAATAAATTATTATTTTTATTATATATTTATAAATATATATTTTTTCTTAGTATTATTTACAATATTCAAATAAATGAAGATATAAAATGGTGATAAATGTATATAATATAAAATAATGTATTTTTTTTTTTTTTTTACGAGTATCATTTTCATTTGCAATGCATTTTTTTATTATTATTATGTTAAACTCTAAGTGAGTTTCCCATAGACACATAAGTTTAGAATATTATGTTCCTGTTATATGTACATAATAAAGAAAAAAATCATTAGTATACATGGGTTTTTTTTTCAAATATTAAACACTTTATTTTTGCTTATGCAGTTTAATTTCAATTTGTATAATAATTTCTTACCAGCAATCACTAATAGTGTTCATAGAAACGAAAAACTATATTTTTGTTTTACAATTTTTATTTCCATCATACTTGTTTAATATTTAAAAATGAAGCATAGTAAAAAAAATTATTAAAGACTGTTAATTTTTAGTATTTTGTGTAAAAAATTTACTTTTAAATTTTCTTTTCAAAAATTTATAATTTACCAGCATTCAGGGAAAAAAATTATTTAAATTAATATTATTGAATAAATTTAATAAAATATTGCAGTTTTATACATTACTATTCTTAAAAATAACTTTTTATGTAAAATTTTTCACATGCATTTTATTTGATATTTATAATAACTCCTAGTTTTCAACCAGAAATAATTTCATCATAAAATCAAAACATCCATATAATATTAAATTTATGTATGTATTAATACGTAATATATTTGCTGTCCTTAATCTTTTTTAATCTTATATGAAGCAATCGTTTTTTTTTTTTTTTAAGGCGCGCGCTATAATAGTAAAGTCGCACCAAAACTGATAGAATTTAATTATAACTAAATAGTTTAAATTATTATTATTATCTAGATGTTGAAGTTGTTTATCTTATTTAGATGTGTAATGATTTTATGTGAATGATTTCACATATATAGCTGTATAGCGTTAAAGGTGATGATAAATATTATAATATAATAAACTATGATTTAATATTGACGTTCCAAGATAACAAACTTCTTTATGTTGCGTAATATACTACTAGAGTAGTAATATTATTGATTAATATAATTATTATCATTTTTATTATTATTATACATTTGATTTATATTTTTAGTTTTATTATAATATTAATTTTTTGTTTTATGTATAACTAATAAATTATTGTATAGTTATACACTAACACAGTTGTAAACCATATTCACATGTTGTCATTCTTTTAAAATGCAACAACTGAATTAGAATAACTTACACACACCAATGAATGTGAGACCTTCACAGTAATTTCAATTATATAATGATTAATTAATTTTAATTCAATTTAGTAGGTTTTTGTAAATTAAATTGTAATAATCACTTTGAAAATGAGTTATAAATAAAATAAAATTAATAAATCATTTCAAGACTGATGTGTAAAGGTTAATTAATTAATATATTACAACACTGTAAAATTATAACCAAAAAATTATAAAAACATTTAAATTTATTAATTTTTTTTTAATTTTATCTACTAATTCATGCATTTCAAAATAATTACCTATTAAATCATTATACCATCAGTGTGTAATTTTTTCTTGCTTTTGGTTATTGTTTCATTTATTTAGACCTTGAAATATTTAGAATTATCATAAATAATTACTATATTCTATTGTTAATTTTTAGTCAAGTAATTAAAATGATTTTTAAAAAATCCTTATTCTTATTTACAGAAATACATAAATATATATTGAATAAAAATTTAGGTGTTTAAAATCATTGTAAAATGTGTTATTCTATTTGATACTTTTGAATATTTATATAAAATATTAAAAATATTATTAAAATGCCTGTAAATTAAAAAAACTTAAAATAATAATTATTTTTTTGTGTANTTATTTTATTTCACAAAATTTCAATACGTAAATTTTATTACAATTATTTTTGACAAATCTTTAGAACTACCTTAATTAATTATTCATTGTTAAAAATTGTGATAAGGGCCTCAAAATCAATTTTTAAATCGGGCACTGCTCCTGTCACTAAGAAAGTGTAAAAACAAAATATTTAAAATCATAAAAAATTCTGTGATTCTTCGTCTTTTTCCCAACTACTTAGGTTTGACCATAAAAATTCTACAATAAATTTTATTAAAAATATTTTCAATAATAAATCTGTTTAGAAGAGTCATTTAGACATTAATAACTCCTTTAATTATTCATTAATTTTAGAGCAAGAAAAAATAAACTAACTTAAGTGAAAGATTTTGTACAAATAATTGTAGTACATAATTGAACCAGTAATTTTCTGCAATTAGATTATAGTACTAAATGTTTTGATGAATCAAAAAATATTTAACGTTCTATGTAAAGAAGTGAATCGCATATTCTTAAATAAAAGCGATTTTAATAAAGTGTAGGTGGCACAGGCTTACTAAATGTCATTACTAGTTTGTAATTTAGAACACAGTTTTTGGTGTTCATATCTTCATATTTGATGGTTACTTCTTTGGTATCTTTTTCAAATGAAAAAGAGACTATTTGAACACATTTGTGTTCAAAAAATATGCATAGAAAATGTAGGTTTAACGACATTGAAAGAAGGCTTTAAAATATATGTTTAAGATGCATATATTATACACATAAAAATTTCACATATATAAACTGTTTTTTACTTGGAAAATCGAAGTTGCTGAAGTTTACCTAAAACGGGTTCAATATAAAATGTGTTAGAATTTCAAATTGTGTTAATATATCTTCTAAAAAATTGTTAAGACTAGTCTGATATATAAATTGTGTACCGTAAAAATATGATAATTTAGTGGTTTCAAGTAAACATTAAAATTTTAGTACTAGGAGCTCGTGAGAATATATAATAATATTTAAAAGAACATCATTATTAAAATTCGTAAATATTTTTTGTGATAACTCATGATTTCCTGGTACTTATGCTACAAAATTAGTTTAAGTTATAACTTGCATAATAATAATCTATGTTTGAATTGCTTGGATAAATTTAGTAATGATAAAACTGTTTTCTAATGTGTGAAATTTGTCCCATTTTATTATTTACACCATTATTATATTTCTAGAGCTCTTTATTATCTCAAAGTTATATACATATAAGAATACAACCATTACTCAAGTTAATTATTCGGATTTACTTCCTATGATATACCGGATCATTCCAGTTAGGTGCAATACATTTTGATACATGTGTTCGACTGTTTTTAAATTAATATTTTGATCAGTGATACTGTCTTTAAGCAATGCAGCAATAATTAAGAAATGATAATAATTAACAGACAAAAAGTTATAAGAACCTGAGAAATGAAAAAATTATACTGTAGTGTACGTTTACAATAGGATGTTCCCAAATTTACATTTTCATTTTCAACGATAAAAATAAAACTATATAAAGGGTATTTATACATTAGTTAGTAGTTTGCGTAGAATTTTATTCACTTCAAAACATTTAACACGAAAAAGAATTGGAATTTTTCTATAAAAAATTCTATGCACGTAAATGCAGTTCATCTAAACTACTATGACATAAAACTTATGTTTAGATAATTCTAAGGAACTCTTTTTGATATGTTATATTATAATATACAAGAAAAAAAAAACGATAGCACAGTGGGGTCATAGCCCAGTATGGACTTGGGAGAGTTGGGACAAGTTTAGATGATATCTGACAGTGATTATTATCACTATCATAAGAAACGCTTCAATACAAATCTGTAGATAGTATTTAATTTTAAGAAATTGGTGGATTATTCCAAAAGCAAAAATAACTCATAATTTTTGTTCTACTTCGATTGCTATATGCACATAAAAAATAGGCCGTCGGTAGTTTTTTTTTTTTTGGACTTTTAGTACATAAAATAAGTTTTATTTTAACATATATTTAAAAAACGTAGTATTCCAGGAACATTTTCAAAAGTTAAGTTGAAAAAGTTCTACTTTTTATACAAATATTCAAAAAAGCTTTTCTTAACTTTGAAGTGGAAAAATAATTAGTATTTCTGGAATAATAATAATAATCGGGACATATATATTTTTTTAAAAGTTATAGCAATTTAAAATCGAAAATTTGAACACAAAAATAGCATTTTTTTAATTACAGCATCCGTTTGCACGTAGAAGATAAGTCGTCAGGACAAATTTTTAATTTATAGTACGTAACATAAGCTTTAATTTGACATAAGTTTAAAGGACGCAGTACTTTCGGAACATATTTAAGTTGAAAAAGATACTATTTTGAATCCCTTCTTGTGCCCATATAGAGGGTCAGATTTTCAAAAATATTGTATCGAATAGAAGGGAAAAACTTAAAGTTTTAATATAACAATAATTATTTTGATTTGTTCATTTTTCAATAAGTTATGTCAATTTTTAGAGAAAAAAAAATGTCGAAATTCCTATTTTAAAAATCGTAATTTTTTGAGGGGGATTTCCACCATCTACGGGGAACAAGGGAAAAATGTTCAATTTTTGGGGGTAATATCTTCAACTAGATACGATTTGTGATCTTATGACGTATTGTTGAGAAAAATCAGTCCAGTGAGAACTGAGGAAAAGTAGTGACAGACACAAAAAAATAAATAAATAAACACATCATGGTAAAATTAATACCTTCTCGCCTTCGCATCAAAACTAAAAAATTTTACTGATCCATACATTTTCAAAAAGTTATAGTTTTATAAAGTTAAAAATATAAAATATAAAATCGAGAATTTTATCATAAAAAATTGCATATTTTTTAATATGGTTTTAATTTTTACAATGAAACATGAAATGAGTCATCCATATTTAAAAACCAGTTTGGATTTATGCCTAGTAAGTCAACAACGGGACCATTACTTTGTGTGAGGCAACTAATACAAATTTTAGGCAAATGAAGAAAAATCTATGTGTGGTATTTATAGATTTGGAGAAAGCGTATGATAGAGTACCGAGAGAGGTTTTAAAGTAGGCAATCCTGAGAAAAAGAGTCCCGAAAAGGTACATTAATATCATAGAGGATATGTATGTTGGCACTTGTACTAGGATAAAAAGCATAGGAAGAGTAACAGAAGGTTTTAAAGTAAAAGTAGGAGTGCACTAAGGTTTTGCTTTAAGCCCTTACTTATTTTCTACAGTGATAATACAAGGAAAGATGCCGTGGTTCATGTTGTTCGCTGACGATATAGTGTTAGAAAATAGAGAGGAAATTAATAGGTATAAATTAATAGGCAGAGTAAATAGAGTACGAGTT